GCGACGATCACCTCCCTCGACCTGCTAGAGATGCTCTTCTTAATGCACCCCAGGATCCCATTGGCCTTCTTGGCCACGGGGGCACACTGCTGCCTCATGGTCAACTTATCATCCACCATGACACCCAGGTCTTTCTCCGCAGAGCTGCTCTCCAGAAAGTCAGTCCCCAGCCTTTACTGGTGTCCAGGGTTATTCCTCCCCAGGTGCAGAACCTTGCACTTGGCCTTGCTGAATTTCATGAGGTTTTTCACCACCCAGTTGTCCAGCCTGTCCAGGTCCCTCTGGATGGCAGCGCAGCCCTCTGGGGTATCAGCTACTCCTCCCAGTTTGGTATCAATCATCAGCGATGATGTAGGGCATACATGTTTTAGCTCAAGCGCGAATTCAGAACAGCCCATGGCTCAGACAGTCACCAAGCTGTGGGAGTGCAGCCACGTTGCTTTGTCCAGAAGAGTCCTAGGCTTGCAGGCCTAAATGCACCCCCTCAGCAGACACCCAAGGGCTAATGCACCCCAGGTGCAAAAGGCGCCCAATAGCTCCACTGAAATGCACCCCTCTAGCTGCTCTTCACTATTCCTCTTACATATCCAGATAGATAACACAAGCATGCCTACCTTATCTGAGGAAAATAGGCCTTCTGGGGAACTGTCAGCCAGACTAGACCTGGCTCCCTCCTTCCAGAGCAGCAGAAAGCCCAATACTGGTGCCACGAGGATGGCTTGGTGACAGCCATGGCTCTGATGAATGTTCCCTGCCATCACTGCTCACCTCATTCCAGCATGCAATATTGGGAGCTCCTTCCCTGCTAGCACCACGCCATGTGGCTTGAGGGACAAGGGCCCATCTTCCTCCACAAAAGGAGCTTTGCTCTATCTAATCTGAAGCCAATGCCATAGGCTCCCTCCTAGCAAAAACTGAACGGGCACTGCCATCTAGGGATATGGTTGCAAAAGGCGGCCCAACAACGACTGCAGCACTCAGTACCTTTCCTGCTGCTGGATCTCCTCTTCACCAAAGGCATTGTTTGGCCACCGGCAGATTTGTCTTGCCTTCTGCGTGTGCAAATTTCTCTGGACCATGTCTAGAAAGAAAACATGAATGCATTCATAACTAGAGGAATAGACTCTGGGTAGTTTTGTGAGAAAATAAGTGGTCTTCCAATGTGCCCTAAGAACTTCCTGCACATCATAGAGCAGAGAGCAGGAAATTCTGGGTAACTTTCTTTGGCCACACTGCTCTTCTTCTGTGCCATTTCCTTTCCACTGTCAATAGTAACTGACTCTGCACAAGTATTTGGAGGATCTGGCTGGTGCTGAAAAGCATATTGTGATCATCATCTGCTTTTGCCTTACTTCACTTCTTTCTATCATGGGGTATTTTTTTCTTCTTTTTCTTCCTTGAGTTATCCTGACAAAAAGATGTAGATCTGTGAGATCTTCCTTCTATCAACACAGGCTTGTTATTTGTTATCTCTGCTCTTGTTCCTGCAGTAATATTATGAAGTAAGAATAGAGTCACTGTAATATGCCCCCTATAAACAAATTCTGGCACCAAGTGTTACTGCTGGAGGTCCCTGGGATGTGGGGGGTATGACACCCTCCTTTGAATTGTGCCGCAGACAAAGTAGTTCAGATACAGAAATTTCAGGTCGACTTTTTATTTTGGTTAAGTAAGTAGTCTCATTGCATGGGGCATCAGATACAGCCAGAAGGCAGCAAACTTAGTCTCATCCAGTGCCCAGCATTGTGCTAGCAGTGGTTTACACAGAATTACCTGGCCAGCCACATAAGAAATCTGCACACTGAATGATGTGGTCATGGTCAGGAGGTTCTCAATTCTGTCCTCAGCTCCAATTCTGTTCTCCTCTCTTCCCTTTGGCTGCAGCAATACTCTTCTGTGCACCATAATCTATATACATCCTAGAGCCTGCTAAATTCTGTGATCCTATCCCTTCCCCTTTCCACTCTATGCTAGCACAGCTGTGACTACGTACAACCCAAACGCTGTTCTCAAGTACTTTTGCTCCCAGGCCTGCAAGCCTTCTCCAAGGACAAGGTGCACTATAGCACCCATTACATCGTAACTGCACTAGCCACTGAGCAAACAGATACTTCACCTTTGAAGTTTATCTCATACCGCTGAAGACCTGCTCGAAAACGGAGAGTGCCGTTCGGGTCATCCTGAAATGCCTTCTCCACCTCCGCAGACGTTACGGTGGCAGCAAAGTGGTTCAGAGACTAAGAAAATGAAAGATTGGACATGATGATAGAATGAGACTTTTTTGAAAATAAATTGCATCTGCAGAGTGAGATTTAGCCCTTAATCAGGAGAAAAGCTGAGCTGGGTTTTCCTCCTGCTCCCTTCACCAGATACAGGTCCTGTCTTTTGCTTTACTCTGCCACAAATTCTCCACTACAAATCCTGCCACTGTCCACTGCTCCCTCCTGCAACCCAGACAGAAATGATGGGGTTATGGCTGTGTACTCCAGGAGCCCCACAAAATACCCCTATTCCCATCCTTGTAGAATGTAGCAGGGGGAACGGAGATGCAGACAGGTCTCCTCACACCACAGAAGGCATTTGGGGTCCTCTAGCAGAGTACAGAAATCTTCAAAGGTATCTTCAAGGGGATTAGTACCTTAAGATGGTGCTTGTTCGTTAGTTTCTTTGTTTGTTTCATATTCCTCTCTTTTAGGGAAAACTCAACATTTTCCAAGGAGAGCCACAGTTTTCATATGCAAATAGAGGGATAAAAATTGTTTGGCCAAAGCCAACCTGAGGGAAGATTTCAGTATGCCCTAGCATATGAGGGTTTCCAAATTAGATAATTCTGCATTTCTACATAAGATTAATAAATACCCAGGGACAAGAGCAAACCAGATAAACCCAAGTCACCCGGGGAAGCACGAGGGCAAAACATCAAACATGGAAATGGCACTTTCTGCATGAAGACTATGGAAAATAACCTCCGAGAAGCAAGCGGTGGAGGGTGTTGGTACATGAGCAAGAGACACTCACCTTGTCCCCGTACTCCACCCACTCGTTTGAGTCATTCAGCCAATACCAGCATTGTCCTGTGCTGTCCACCAAGAGCATATCAGTGAGTGACACATGCGGCAGAAGGCAGAAGCACATCTCTACCCTCCTCACCTCCTACCAATACTCCCAGCCCTGACCTCCCTCTTCCTTTCCCCTTCCCCTGCACTGTGGGTAGGGTATGAACACTACTGCCTCTCAGCTGGCTGATATCCAGCAGGAGGATGATTTCCAGCACACTGTAACTGATACCCTGTTACAGGCTGCTAGTAAGTCAAACAGAACAAGATTCTTCCATTTGTTCTCAAGCATCTGGAGAAAGTCCAACACAGAGCATGTCCCCAAAACCCCTAAGCCACCACATCACGGGGGCACTATAGAACCTGCTACCAGTAACATACCTAAAGCACAGACTGGCTATACTCTTACCACTACAAGATACCAGATGAAAAGAAAGCCCACCAAAGCAAGGGATCTTCCCAAATGAGGAAGTCTTATTTGTACATTGGCAGGGGTAAACAACAAAAGCATTGCCTGGTACCTCTCCCCTTGCTGGTTCCCATCCACACCACAGGCACCAGTTGGCCACCGGCAGATTTTTCTCGTTTTCTGCGTACGTAGATTTCTCTGCACCATATCTGAAAGGAAATCACAAATGCACCCAAAATTGCAGAAAGGACTGTTGCCTCCCAAAAGAAAAGAAGGCTTCCGAACAACGGGCCCAGGGCTGCCTTTTCCCAAGTCTCCTCTTCACTCTGGGGCACTTCTACATTATCCTCTATTCTGGCATTTCTAGGTCAGACATTTCATTTATAACAATAACGAATCTCTGCACATATCTAACAGACAGCTGGCCTTGATTTCTTCTCATCAAAAGCTTAGATCAAGATGGGTTACATCAGTAATCCATCCTTCCTGCCATCATAAGGCTGTCTTTGAGTCTGCAGAAAATGCCTCATTTACATTAGGGTAACTCCTTCCCTTCCCACCCAAGAAGACTCCAAGAATTTACATGCATGACCCACAGAACTTTCTCATCTTTCCCTCTCTCTTTCACTCTGTGTCTCTCTCTCTCTCTCAAGTGCAGGGTGATCTCCAGATGTACAGAGTGGGACATGGCCAAAAGATTTTCCTGCACGTCATGCCTCTACAAAGGACTTCTTGGATGCATGGGCATGGATCCTGCAGACTGCAACAAATGCTTTGATGCCACAACACACTACTATTGTCCCATGACTACAGCTACCCCTCCACCTTTTTTCCCTTCCCCTAGTTAGGCTGTGCCTGGTACTGATGAGTCTGCACCAGCATCTGCACACATCCTAGAACCCGCTCTGTCCTATGGTCCTGTTGCACAAAGGCCTTCGGTACACCAAGTGCCCCGAGGCCTGCAAGCCTGCTCCAAAGAGAAGGTGCACTACAACAAACATCAAAACTGCATTAGTCATTGAGCATATAGATACTTCACCTTTGAAGTTTATCTCATACCGCTGACGACCTGCTTGAAAATGGAGAGTGCCTTTCGGGTCATCCTGAAATGCCTTCTCCACCTCCGCAGACGTTATGGTGGCAGCATAGTGGTACAGAGACTAGGAACATGAAGGAAAATACTTATCAGATGCAAATTTTGACTTAAGGGGCCTAGAGAGCCTCATTGCATTTGCTAATTAGGGAGTGGGCAGGCATAACTGCCTACAACTTAGATTTTCCGGTGCACAAATTCCCTCCCAGCATTGCCCCACACCTCCTCCAGAACCTATTTTCTGGACTCTGCCACCTCTTGTTTCCTGTCACCACTCCTTATCACAGCACACTTGGACCAGGCCTTGCTCAAGGGTGTATCCCTACAGCCCTCATCTCCTTCTCAGCCTTACACAGAGTGTTTCAAAACATCATCAGGACTTCTTAAAGCATAGTATTTTGTAATTGTGTGTGGGATAGCTTTTTGGTATTCTTTTCTTCAGTGAGTTATTAGGATTTTCAAGAGAAAAGAGCACTTTCCTCGCAAATACATGCACAGCAAAAAAAGATTGTTTAGACAAAAGTCATTTTGAAATGTTCTGTTTTGGCCAAGAATATACATAGTGTTTAGATCTAGGTCTCACAGAGGATTTATGAGAGACAGCTGAATATGTCAAAATACACGTGCCATGTGGAAACACCAAGAGACTATCCAAGTCTCAACTGAAAGGCAGTGCTCACAGGGGGAAAAAAAAAAGATACATATAAATATAGTAGCCCCTGCTAGGTGGCTGGCACATGGCATTGGATACAAAGGGAGAGATACTTACCGCTTCCCCATATTCATTCCACTGATTAGATTCATCCAACCAATACCAGCGTTCTTCCGTTCTGACCACAGGGTGGGCAGTAGCATGTGGCACACAGAGAAGAAAGATAGGCACGTGGAATGAAAAAGTAAATAAATGTCTGGTTAGCCTGTGCCTTTACACTTCCATCCTCTATTTCCACCCATACATGCTCTTCTTCCCAGTGCTATTATTGCAACGACTTCTCACTTCATATCCAAGATGACCATCTTCTGGAGGGTATCTCCAACATGCTATTCCTCACCTCAAAGGTCCAGAAAGTGGAGCCGTTCTTTGCGGCACTGAAGATGAAGGAGGGAAGGGATGGCGGAAGGCACAATGTGCATGGCTGGTCATCCGAGTCACATCACCTCATGGCAGGAGGAGCAGCTCATGTCCAGCACAACACACAAACCAACCATCCCATGAACCACCCATCCTCCAGAGGATAACTTGCAAGGGGCAGAAGGGGCAGGCACATCCTGGGGACTGCTGTGGCCACCATCCTCTCCCAGTGGACCAGCAGCCAGGCTAGACCCAGCTCTCCCTCTCTCAGACCTCTCAGAGCAGGAGTTCCCAGAAAGGAGCTTCACTTTGCCCTGCTTGAGTCACTGCCGCAGCCCCCTCCCCCGGGAGCAGATCCCCAAAACTGAATAGGCATCGCCATCTAGAGACACAGTAGCAAAAGACTGCCAAGGAGCAAACACAGCACTCCATACTTCTCCTGCTGGCTCCCATCTTCACTGGAGTCACAGTTTGGCCACCGGCAGATTCGTCTTGTCTTCTGGGTGTGCAGGTTTCTCTGGAGCATGTCTTGAAAGAAAACATGAATGCATCCAGACTTAGACATTGTGTTATTGTGTTATTCAGCTGTGGAACCCAACCTACTGCCATAACTCGATGCAGGTACTTCAAGCTTACACAAGTCAAGACTGACTGGAAAAAATCCACGGAAGGAGATAAATCCAGCCAGGGCCACCAGCTGCAGGGACTTTACCCGAGACTTAGGAAGACCCCAAGGGGCAAGTCTCTGCATGACAGGGAAGTATGATCACTTGCTCGCCCTCTCCGTTTTTGCTGGGAATCCAGCATCCACCACTGATGGATAAAGGGTGCCAAGGTGGCACCTAGGCATTAAATCCAGACGAGTAGCACAAGCCAGGAACATGCACAGTCTTTGTAGCCTGTGAAGACTTCTCTTTCAACACTGCCACACAGCAATTTTGGGGCCATCATGGCCCCAGCACTCAAAAGGGATGCGCTCACTTAAAGTGTTACCGATACATGACCTAGCTGTTTTCCTTCTTTTGTCTGAGCAGCCCCCACGCTTTTTGCTCACAAAAATCAGTCACCTAGATAATGTCCTTTCCAGGAAACAAATTCATAGCTGTATGGCAACCCACTGGCATGGAGAATCACAGGTTTCCTCTCATGCAGCTCTCCTCCTGCAGCACCCTCAGCAAAGCCAGGTCTCTCTCTGATTTTGCTTTTCCTCTTTCACAACTCTTCCCTTGCACATGGTCTCACGTGCACCATGTCCTGGGTATTAATCTCAAACGACCATCTTAATCCTTTTCTGCTGCTGAATACTACCACTGAATTTCTTTATTATTATTATTCTTTTAACCATAAATCTCTCAAACAGCTCCAGCAATTTGAATCACAAACTTAAATCAAAGAATGAGAAATTATTACATACTTCTCCATTTTATGGTCTTTCAGACACAAGTAGCCTCTCCTTTACTTCTGCAATTTATACATGGGCAATCCTCTAGCAAGCTCTTTCAAACAACAGCAGTGTTTCCTCCGGCTAAGACAGCCACTTCTGCTGGTGATGAGGATATGTAAGGCATTTCCAGGAGTAAAGATGCACTACAGAGTCAGCAATAGATCACAAGTTAAACTATAATTAAACAATATTTTACCTTTAAAATTTATCTCATATTGCTGTGAATGAACTTGAAATCTCAGAGTGCCTTTCTGATCTGCTTGAAATGCTTGTTCCACCTGGGCAGATGTTATGGTAGCTGCAGAGTAGTCTGGGTGCTACAAAATGATGAAAAGGACAGTATCTGTTATAGGCAACACAAAACTTGCAACAGGCTCTCAAAACTCGCAACAGACTCAGGTTCATCCTTACACCAAAGCCCACGTATATAGTAGTCAAAATAGTGCTACACTGTACTTTAGAGGAGCAGCTTTTTTGATCTGAATTCTTTGTCTTTTCAGTGAGTTTAAAATTTTCCCTGTCCTCATCTTGAAATACATAAATATATATATAAATATGCACATATTTTTGTATGTACACATTTATAGATATATATAAATTACAAATTCATATATATATAAATACACACATACAGTCTTGAAAATTATGTTGTCCATTCCTAGAACAGCAATGCCCAGAGATAGTATTCAGAAGCTCCCCTGAAAGTATCAGGGAAACATCAAGGTTTGGTCAGCACTACAGCAATACAATAAGACATCAGAAAGCCCATGTGTCACGTAACAGGCAGTACTTAGGGGAAAAAAAATACAAAGAAAAAAAATAATTCACTAGAGTCTGGGGAAAGGAGTTAGGTGATAAAGACGTTATGGAGTTTACCTGTATCCCGTATTCAATCCACTGTCTAGAATCATCCAACCAATACCACCAAACTTCCATGCTGCCAAATTTGTGAGTATCAGGAATGATCAAAAGTGTAGAACTAACTCAAAAAAAAAAAAAAAGAAAAAATAAATAATAATAAAAAAACAAAGAAAGTAATCTTCTGGCAGGTTGCTTAACAGTGGCCTTGAGAGGATAATGCAGATTCAGCAGAAATTCCTGAGTTGTTGTCCACATCATTTTACAACCCAGGAAACAGAGTGATTTCCACATCCTCTTAGTTGATAAGTTCTAAAAGCTTTTTTTCTTTTTCTTTTTTTTTTCTTCCTGTGCTTCAATGTAGAGGCTCTGAGTGTGCCAGCCCATAGCATTCCCACTGAGCAGACACCTGATACCGGGTAAGCAGAATATTTAATTGAGGATTAAACTCTATTCTAACTTGGGTTATTCAACAAAACCTAAGCAAATGTGGCACGGTTCACCTGCCTGCAAAGCCCACCTCCTTATGCTGCTCACTGAAATGAGCTGCTGTCCCCTGATGAGCTTTCACACCTTTCCTAAATTCACCCTCAGAGTTAAGAAGAGAATTCCCTACTTTTGTATCTCAGTTTAGACAGAGAAGAGCCATGTGAATGGTCCTCCAAGCCCGTGTGTTATGAAATTTTTGCTTTACGAACAAGTCATCTTAGTTATGGTTCAGATTCGGAAAACTCTCTACACACCCTGTTTTAAGAGGAACACTAGAAAGAGAGAAAGAGTGAGGGATAAAAAGCAAGCAAAATCTAAAGGCAAATTTAAGAAGGAAGAGAAAAGCAGCTATGTCGGAAACACCACGGAGTTACACAGTCTATGCAGAAACAGCAGAAACTGGAGGACGCACTGATAGAAAAAAAACAATTTTTAATATTGACGTCAAAAAGTTTGGGTTTGGTTAGTAGCCCACAGCTTGGTGCAGCAAAAAACATATATGAAGCGTGTATGAAGCTTTCAGTCAAAGTAATGTGAAGGGAAAAGACAGGCAAGTCTCCAATATGAGATCAGATTAGTTGATCAGAGAGGCAATGGGATGAGGGATATCAGAGGAAAGAATAGCAGAGCCGAGCACAGGTTTTAGACAGAGGCTGCAGGGGAAAAGCTAGGAAAGTTCAAAAGGAGATGAAATTGGAAGATGCAAGGGGATAGCTGCAGGATGCGATCAGAGCAATCTGCAAGAAGTAGCGTGAAAATGTGCACAAAGCATAGAAGAAAACAGAGACCTAAGCAGTCTCTCGTGTCTCTTTTGGACTTTGTGAAGGCAAACAATTAAAAAAGAAAAAAGAATTTTAAAAGGACCAAGTCTAAAGATACTTCACGAAAAATAAGGTTTCAGAGACCATGCAGTGAAAACAAGGCTATCTTTAGGAATGGATAACGACAAAGCTTCCTGCAGTGACTGGAATATCAAGAGTGGGTGCTTTCCAAATATTTACAGGTTGCATACTAGCATTTTTATTAATGGGTCCTCTGATATTGCAGTAAAGCACCCCAAAGTAAATTCTAAGCTTATTAAGCACAGATAGATAAGAGCCAGGTCAACCCCTACTCCTGCTTATTTTTGTGACTTAGATAATCTTGGAAAGGCAGTTAGAATTATTTTGGGAAGGGGGATGTCAGATCTAGGACTCAACATGCCAGGTAGGAGGATTCAGCAAAGGAAACAGGGCTGCAGAAGAACATAAACACCTAAAAAAGTTGTAGAAAAGGCAGTGGAAACTTGATTCTTACTTGATTCTTTTCTGTAGCCCCTAGCTGAGGGTCGCCACATCCCCCATCATTGCCACTACTACACATGGATACTGAAGTTGCTATTCCCTTCATCCAGAAATAGCGTTAAGTAATGCAACTGTTGTACACATCATGACAAGAGCAGTGTCTGCATTTTTTGCACCTGTCACCCTCCCACAGCAGGACTATGGTGCTATGGGGCTCAGTTTCAGTTTTAGGAGTCTCTCATGTTTGGAAAACAACATGCCATTCAGCGTATTATATCAGTGACGTTACCGCCAGGAACACTGGGGAGGCCCAATATCGCCATGAGAAAATCAACTAAAAATACATTATGATCAAAAGAGCACTAGAGTTAACATATTTTTCAAGCATAGAAAAATATGGGTTATCTGAGACTGAATAAGATGTACAGTATTTATTTGGGTGCAAGATGCAACTGATTCTTACAAATTTGCTGTTGCCATGAGGCAACTACAGAAGAAAACCGCGGAGAAGTGGGCAATGTCCTCAAGCAGACCCCCTGGGCTATCACAAAAGGAGGAGAGAGGGTCCCGCCGTGGTGGCAGTGGCTTCAGCCCCAGCACCGTCTTAGGAGGTGCCCCCAGCCCAACCCCCTTCCCAGCTTGCCTGGGGCCACCTCGTCCCATCCCACTCCCAGTCACATCCAATTGGTTTCCCACATGGATCGAAGCAGATAAAACCAACCTTTCTTTGCAAGGTTCTTCCTAACCTCGATGTGCTCCATGAGTGGGGACTGCAGGAATCCCCACCCTGGGCACTTGCTTACCCACTTCCTCCTCGGCAGCTGCTGCCACCCGCCTCTTCCCGACAGCAAAACCAGTTTTGGTTTCCGTTTCAGAGTACCCCGTTGCCTCTGCTCCTTCCTTCCCACACACAAGCAGGAGGCAATTCTTTGCCTTGGTATTTGTCCAAAAGACACTAAAGACACCGAAAGCTCTTGCTTTGGCAGGTGCCTACCCCTTCAGCAGAGCCCTCTCCCTTTGGTCCCCTGCAACCATCTCATTCCTGCCCATCTGCCCCTGGAGGTCTTCTTGTACTTTTTGTACGGATTAAACCCACAATATTGTCCTAATGGACAACATAATGGAGAGGTGGCAAAGCCATCAGTGAAGACACCATCTGCTCATATTATTTCATGCTGAAAGCAACTTTCCTTCCTATCCTTCAGGCAAACAAGGTCTCCCAAGCGTGCAGCTCAGGCGTCCAAGCCCACCCCTAGAGCCACCTGTCCACCTGTGGCTCTGCTGTGAGAGAAAACCCCAAACTCCACAGAAATCACTTTGGCTACTCACGGAGCTCCTCAACACCAGACTTTTTCCATCACCATCTTCCTGGCCCTGAAGTTGCCAGTCACATGTGTCTGAGTCAGAGACCGTTTAACCCTTTCTTACCAGAGTAGAGACCTCACGCTTTTTCAGAGACAAAAAAAAAGAAAAAAAAATCTGTAAATCTGTCAGATCCACACTTAAATTCTACATGGTGCTGCCTGTTTGCCAGTATTTGTCTTCTAACCTAATTATCAGGAGTACTTTTGTTCACTGTTTCAATACTTCAGGATACAGACAAGCACTACAGAGTTAGCAGGAAGTTCAGCTGCAGAAGCTTCAGCAGATTTCTAATAATAAAAAAAAACTTGCACAAACAAGGACTTTTCTCTTTTATCAGTGGTTTCTGCTCTCAGTCCCTCCCCCACTAAAAAAATTCTCAGATCCTTTACTACTAAAAGCCCTAGAGTCTAAAGGTCCACTATCTTCTTATGGGAGTCAAAGCCTATGCTGCAGCCTTCCTCCCTTATCATGAGCGGTGGCACAAGCACTTGTGGGGTAAGCAAAGCTGGGAACCATACTTCCTGGACACTGTGTTCTGTGTTTGTCTTTGTTTTCCTTTTTTCTTGTTGCTTTAGAGTCAATTTTCAACAGTACGAGCACCTCAGATCTGGTCCTCCCCACCACAGTACAGTCACTAGCGCTGGCACAGGGAAACAGTGGGGATGCACAGGTAGAGGTAGAAAAGCCGTTTTGGCAGCATCTCAAACTCACACCTACCTAGGGGGACCCTGAAATAGAGTAGGCTCCTCAGGGTGCACTTCCACCTCCTTTTTGACTGATGAAGTCAAAACCAGCTACTCCTCAGCAGAGTCACAGATCTCAGGGCAAAGTTACAGCTCCAGACACTTAGACTCCTGCCTGGGTTTTTTAAAAATAATACTCAGGATCTCATTTCTGGAGATCATGTGGACTTTGCATTCAGAAACAACTTTTACTTAATTAAAAACCTACTTTTCTTCCAAGCCTTTTCTGCATTCATGCGTTCATCTTCTCTTGTACATTCATATTCCTCTTCTTCAAATGAATACGAATCCCCTTTTCAGGCACCACTTGCCACTCACTGTGAGCTCTCGCTTACCTTCCCTTGTCCCTCGGAGAAGGTTGGCATCAGACCCTGAGGCCCCCTTTTCTGTAAACAGATCTGTGGTGCACTGTGAGTGGATTCTTTCTCAGGGCAGAGAAGAAGGAGGGAAGCCCATCTGTATAAGTGTGTTCATCCACAGCATGTTTTCTCATACAACAAGACTCTCTCAGCCGCCAGCCTGCCCAAAGGTTGCACCCTGCTTGCCTGTTGATGGGGGCCTGGATGGAGCAACACTGCAAGGTCTGGTAACTGTCCCCAAATGGTCATTATTTGGCCTCTGCTCATCCTAGCAAGCTGCACTCATCTCTACCTGCATTTTCTTCAGACACTTGCTACATCCTGAATCTTGCTGGGCAACGCAGTCCATGACAGAGAGGGACTGAAAACTCTGAGGCAATCGCAAAGCCATTAAAAATTGCTCTTTAGGCAAGGATCAGAATAAATGTAATATATACTAATGAAACGCACTTTCAGGAGAGCAGGAAGGAATATTCCCTCCTCCTGCCTGTGTTTCTGGTTAAATAAAGCATATAGAAACTAAGCAAATTCTTAAACCAGAAAGATCCATGTACAATCCTAATCCTATCTATTTATAAAATCAACATCTTAAAACCACCAGCTGTATTGTTCAATGCCGGGACCTGGGATCAGGTCTCCAGTAGTCTCTTCCCCCTCAGATATGCCCTTCCTGTTTGCCACTCAACAGGAATGTAGTCTCAGGATGACTATGGAACTCCCTCAGTTACTGTGTGTACACCTGATGTGCAGATTCATGTTTGCTCTAAGAACAGGATGAAGATCAATGACAGTGGGCATATCTCAGGTAAACAGCACTCCAAAACCACTGCAGTTTTCAAATTTAGCAGTACTGATAGCAGAGGAAAGCAATTAACTATTGTTCACTTCTTTCCTCATTGAGAATGGTGCAAGGTAGACATATTTGCTTTCTTTCTTCTCATAAGGAAATACTGTATTCAGAAAAAAAAAAAAAAAAAAAAAGGACATTTACATGCCTTTCAGAGAACCTCCTTCAGGTTCCAGGTATAATTATCCAGCTCCCGGCAGAAAAGATAAGACATGGAAATGCAGTAAATATGGCAGCTACAGAACTCCTTGCTGCAATTCTGATATTTTTAAGGGCATTGATTGTGTCTGACAACAGCAAGATTTAGTAAAGCTGATGAGATCACAGAATCACAGAATGGTTGAGGTTGGAAGGGACCTCTAGAGATCACCAAGCTCAACACCCCCGCTCAAGCAGGGATACCACAGAAAAAGACAGGGAAAAAAAAAAAGGCAAAGAGGCTCCTGGGCTAGAGAGCCCTGCAGATCCTATGCACATCCACGCTTCTGGTTCCTCCCACTCATGGTGTGGACAGCTGAGCTACTTGTGCATTATTTTGTCAACTGCAACGGTTTACAACAAGACTGTTTTAAAATAAACCATTAGTTTTGGTTTCCACGATATTAACATGTTACCTCGCCATCTCCTGGGCTTCAGGAACTATATGTCATCCTTCCCATCTGTCTCAGAGCACACACAGCCGAGACACTTCTGAATCAGCCAGAAAAGTGCCAGGTGGCTGCATAGCCATTTGAAGAACCCATCACCAATTTCAGTCTGTTGGGTGGCCATGCTGCCAGCCATCCCTCACAAGGCTACGTTTTCCCCTGGGTCACTCACTTGAGTGCTGGCTCCACAGTCCAAACAGAGCCCTGCTGTGGGTCATTCATTAGGTCATCGCAGACTTCTTCCTTGGCCACACTACGGCCTTGTGGGGTCTCACTTCAGTAGCTGGAATATCCCAAGTTCTCTTGACCTAAACCTGAGGAAGTTTGCTGCAGGACAGGGAGTCACACAGTGGTGACAGGGCAAGGACACTGGCACTTGGCTACAGTGTCACCAGCTGTATGGGCAGACTCAAATGTAGAAGAATAGGGTAAGCAGTGCTGGAAGCAATGTGATCAGAAAGAAAACAAACTTCACCCCCGCTGTTAATTATAAAGCTTCCGGGATATAGGAACTTCATGTCATTTACTGAAACAACAGGTTATGACTCCTTCCTTTTACGCATTGGTGTAGACGCTTTCAATTTTCATCCTTCTGCATTTCTCACCCAGTCTCTCTTCAGCACACCAGCCCCATTACAGCCTATGGATAAGGTAAAAGCTAAAATTTAGCACTTTCAGTGGCAGAATAGCCCCCAACAAACAAACTCCATCCAAAAATTGTTCAGGATACTGGTCTTGGTTCATTGCACTACAAAAGGTTCTATAGCATCTCAAATTAAAATTTTGCTATATATAGCAAATACTAAAATTGGGCATACATTTAAAAAGAGATTTAGAAAATATCTCAAAGACAGTTCAAAGAAAATTCTGCCGTTCTTTACAGGATCACACAACTGTAATCTCTTCTATACTCCAAGATATAGGCAGGGTAAATCTGAAGCTTTTCAAAGATGACAAAGATGGAAGGATCCTCTGCATCATCCACACAGCTGTCATAGAGCCTGTTTGGATTGTCAGGTCTGGGTGGAGGGCGAAGGTATTCCGAGTTTCCCAGAACAAAGTCTCCAACAAGAACATGAGCTACAAACATGCTCTGGTGTCCAATGCTGGATGGACAGAACTGATGGGAATAACTGGCGTCTCTGGCAAAGTAGCTTCCTAGGGAGTAGAAAAACGCTCAAGTAAGAAAATGCATCAAGCGAAGGAGCCAACGGCTGCTATTGGCACTTCGACAACCAACAAGCTCCTTGTTCTCATTTCATCCCCCATGAAGCTCTAAACTCAGCCTTGATGTCCCCACATCAGTTAAGGCATCAGCAGATGCTGCGCACCCTTGACGCCCCACATAACCAAAAGCTCTGCCCGACAGCAGCTACCCTGGCCAAGGAGGGAAGTTTCCAGTCCATCCACAGGGGACGCACAGAGGCGGATGGACAGGAGCGTGGTGTCCGTGCCAGTCCGACTCCTCGCAGTGACCCACAGCCCGTTGGCAGCCCGCACTGCTGCAGCCCCCACACGAGCTCCTCACAGGCTGGCAGAGGTCCTGCTTGCACACGCTGCACCCCACTGTCCTTCAAGGAGTCTCCTCTGCCACCCCACTATGGCTGGGGCTGCCCTGAAGCACAGCACCTTTTCCATACATCGTCCCGTGAGCCCCGCAGACCCGCCAGTCAAAATTCTGCTCGCAGATGGCAGCCAGGTGGGACTGGCTGGTGCCATGGAACAGGAACCGCTCATCCACCCAACTTGATTTCTTGACCTTCTTCATCTGCTCCTTCTGCCTAAAGGCAAAAATTGTTCAAATGAGGACATTTTTCCAATTCCAAGTCCTCCTGCTTTTGAAACACAGAGGCACAGCGGCACAAACTACTGTTGGTGGATTTACTGCATGCTCTGCACTGTGTTGTACCCTGCTGCACAGCTGGCTCTTTCCAGAAAGATCTCAGCATCATTACAGACCACGTCATTCAAAACTTCTGATCATATTACAGAATAAAAAGACAAACATCTCCTGACTGTGAGTTGGTCAGTTCCCAGGTTAAGTAAACCCTCAGTGCATGAACATAGTTTAGAAAACTATGTTGTATGAAGACACAAGTCATGAGATCATTTAATACAAATGATTTTATAATCTCTATCCATACTTGAATCACAAATGTTCCCAACTTTTAAAATACCCAGTGTGGAAGACACTAAGAAATAACAAGAACAAAGATGAAATCGCATAGCTTAGTCATGATGTCAGAAAACAGGAAAAGAAGTTTCCTTCTGAGTAATGTTAGGAAGAATTGCACAAAAACCTGTCAGTGATGTGATCTACGAATCATCCCTAGACACACAGAGGAGCACAGAGGAACAGTGATGGGAGGACCCCAAAAATTTTGTCAGAGAAAGAAGCCCTTGCCCTCTGCAGATTGTCTCAGGGAAGCCTCAGTCCATGGGCCAGGGGGGACTGCTCCAAGGGGAAATGCTGTCCAGATGAGCTTGCAGACTGAGGGGGGGTCACTACCTTGGGGTGCAGGACTCATGAGGTGCAAGGGAAGAACATTTGGAGATTATGCAGGACTTCTTACGGCATGTTTGGGGAAAGGACATACTGAGAGGAAAGGGAGATACCACAGTGGTCTGGGAAGGAACAAGCATGGGAAAATTGAGAAATGAGGGGTTAAAAGGAGTAGTGACATGCAAACATGCTGCTGGTTAGTTCGCTTCTCCGGCCATGCCCTGCATCTTATCACCACCCCATCTGTCCTATCTTCTCTTTAAAATACATTTCTGACTATTTTTATGGGTCTGGGAGGAATCTTTGTTCTGTGGGCACACGTGTATGGAGTTCTATGTGTCAGAAACTGGAGTAGGACGCCCCATCTGTCCTATCTATCTTCTCTTTAAAATACATTTCTAACTATTTTTATGGGTGTGGGCCCATACGTGTGTGCACACGTGTATGGAGTTCTATGTGTCAGAAACTGGAGTAGGACCAGGAGTGATTTGGGCTATGCATTTGCGGTGCGTGCAGTCGAGTGAGTGATGGTCTGTATGTCAGTGTGTGATCACTAGCAACTTTCAAGCCAGGCAAGGCTGGCTTGAGTAGGATAAGGGGGAACCAGGCATCAAAACAGTCATAAGTCTGGGCCAGACACTGGAGAGAACAGAGGGTTGGAAAGCTGGTTACTGGATGCATAAGCTATAGGAGAGACTGAGAGGGCTGGGAGATGGCAGAGAGACCTGTTTGCATGTGTGACACAGCTGAGGGGACCAAGGAGCCAGAGGCCAGCACCTGGTTAGATTATCTAAATTAGCTGCTGCAGGAATCCATGGTGTATACATATATATATATATGCGCCCCACTAACAAGACTTTATCCTGATCAGACAGAGAGGGCAACAGGATGAGATCACTGATGCTATTTGCAAGGACTGTGTTTCTCATCTAGCCTAAACTGTGTGGCCAACCATAAGTATATATGTATGTATTTTGTACATATGGCTGCTAGAAATACATGCTCAGCCTCATTACTGGGCAGACCTGGGGACATAAAGCTGAGACAGTCTCACCTCTAGCAAACCACCTGATTTGGCAATCTGTAACACAACTTGTGGAGGAGAATAACACAGGAACCACCAGTACTTTGTTCCCACCAGAGTAAGAAAGTAAAAGGGATACGCACCACTGAAAAACTTGCCAAAGTGTTGGGTTCTGGATCCTCTGCAGTCTACGAATGCTGTAATCTTTCATTGTCCTCCCAAACAGCCCCTCAATTTTTCTGTATTCACTGGAAGTGCAACTGATCTCCACCAACTGAAATTTTTAAACATACAAAAAATAGTGTCAAAGGTTTTCTAGTACGAACGCACATCAGTCCTTCTAAAGGATTCATCAGGCTCATCCCATTAGAGGAAAAGCCCTGCCATTACATTCACAAGTTCTTCCCGCCTTCACCAGTTAACCATTATCTTCCCTCCTTCACTCCCACTTCTCATGTTTTAAATACAGGTACTGAGGGCTGGGTGCACAAGGTGCACAATGCTTCTCCACACTAGTTTCCTTCAGTGGACAAACTTCTGCACTTCTACTTCACAGTAACCTAGATCAGAAATGCACAGTGTTTAGAGTGGAGAACAGCGACTATCCACTTCACTTTAATTTGACATCCCAGCTCCTAATCTATTATCGTTTTTTTAGGAATCTAGTTTTACTATAGCAAATAATATTTTGCCTCAAATACACTGAGAAAATACTTTCAAACTCCTTTAATATGCAATTCACGCAGTCTATCATAGACACTTTGGGAGAAGACAAAGGAAAGGTTAGAGCAGCAAGGGCCAAAAGCTATCCCTGTGTGGTATATGTGAGGGGGTCTCAGAAAGTGACCCAGGAGACACAGTCCTATTCTGGACGTGAAACTGGTCAGTCTTCAGAGCCTCTACAATTTATAAATACACAGGTTTAAAAGCTGGGCATATCTCAAGAGCCTTAGTCTTTGGAGCTGCACATCATGTTTTATATAGTTTACTTCTTAGAAGAATTGGTACCAGATACAGTTCTCCCTACATATTGGAGAGGCAAAAAGATGTACCTTGTATCCTATATCAGGCAGTGCAGATAAGTCCCATTCTGGAGGATACAGAGAATACGCCAAAGTTGTGTATAACTTGCTGCAAAGAAAGAAAAAGGACCAAATCAGTTGATGATTTCCACTGATCGATCAACTAGTTGACCATTCTAGTGGCTTGAACCTCTAGGAAACTGGAAAGTGAGGCTTCGCTTTCCATCTCCCTCATCTTTAAATAGTTGGTCAGATCCATGGCCCACCTCTACCAGTCTCCCAGACCAGCCAGTCAGAAGCACACGCAGGAAGCCTTGCATGGACAAGTGTGCCTCCATGTGCTGCTCCACCAGTTACCATATGCTTAACCATCTCCAGCACAAGTCTTCAACAACCCTCCTGGTATGAATATTTTGCCCCAAATTATAGCAGTGTCAGCATGCATAGAGAGGATTGGGTTTTTTGGTTTTGTTTTTTTTTTCTTTAAACCAGCCAAACAGTTGACTGCTAATATTCTGTGTGCTGGTGAGTTTCTAAAGCCCAAGAAGGGTTTTTTAAAATAAAGCAGTAGCACAACCAGCTGCTACAGCAGGTACGCTCAATTCCGTCAAGCTGAACTTCCTTTAAAAAGAATTATGAAAAAAAAGAGTATCCCAAATAAATATATCCAGCTCACTTTACTTAAGGAAATTTGCCTTTACATTTCATTCTTTGCTGAGAGGTGACATCTATCTGCTCCACAGTTCTTGGGACAGACAGTCCCTTGCTTCTACTCCTTGTGCTGTTTAACACTGCTAGAGCACAAACCAAGGACTAAAATTTCTCCTAGGGGCAGCCTTACGTGACCTTGCTCTTGTAGAGGCACCCAATCACTCATGGATGCCAAACACAACCCAAGTACATTTCACAGAGTGGTTGTAATAGACAAATTTTAGCAAAACTTGACATTAAACCAGTCAGCAAAAGGTGTCTAAAAAAGAATTTAAGAAATCTGAAAAAAGAATTCTAATGAGGTAGAAATACTTCTCAGAAGAAAGGTACTATCATCTAGAGACACTATTAAATAATTGACATTATTAAATAATAATAACATATGGTACCTTTCCTGTTGTCCACTTTCAGAAGACAGAAATCTTGGCAATTGGACAACTCTTCTTCGAGTTTCATAGATCAAATTTCTTTGGACCATGTCTTGAAAAGAAAGCATGATGACTCAATAATTAGACAATTTATTGTCATGAGAGCTACGTTTCTACATACTAAAAAAAAAAAAAAAGGAAAAGAAAAAAGAAAAAAGAAGATAGTCCTGAATACTGAAAGGCAATTATCTTTCTACTACTTCCACCCCACACCATGCTTCATAGTTTGGGGTAGTTTCCACTTGCGCTATGTGTGCTTGGTGACCAGCAAGGTCTAACTGAAAACTCACAGCATGTCTCCTTTTGTCTTTCTGCCTTTACCTTGGAGGAGACGGGAATGACTGTCAGGATATCTTGTGAAGACAACACCCCAACTACATGGCCCGAAACTTTCCTCCAGAAGCTGCTATTCACATCCAGACTGTTGGCCAGACAAAACTGTATCTGATGTCTGACCTACAGGACAAAACTGGTTTTCATATGACAGAAGTCATAAATTTATCTTTCCGGGCAGTACAGGACTATCACTTTGGTACAAAAAGGCAACCCTCTCTTTCTGGTCCTGTAATAATATCACAGAGCACACATTATGTTATGTGGCTAGCTATCCACTGATGCCTGTTTTACCATGCTTTATTCCTACCAGAGAGCAGAGCTAAACTTCAGAGAATGAAAGCTAATTTTAGGGTGGTCAAATAAATTACGAATAAATTAGAAATAGAAAAGCATTTCTCTCTTTCCCCTTCCTTCTCTGAGGAAAGAACCCTTATTTTTTTCCTTTGCTATGCTATTTGTTTTCTTTCCCCATAACTAGCCTGAAAGAACATCCACCAGGCTCACTTCATCACCATCTGACATTTCAGTTCTTTTTTTCTTTCTTATTTCCCCTTTTTGCTTGTATTAGCCTTGATGCATGTCAGATGCCATGAGATGTTTACATTCTGTTCTTTTTCTGAATATACAGCATTGCAAAAGATACTTTTTTGATTACAGATAGACAAGTCCAGAAGCTTCAGCAGTGTATGCTGGAACTGCATAAAAATGCATGCAATTTTCATGTTCCGCTCAACACTTAAAGACAAGGAAAAGGTCTTAGAGACAAGACAACACTTAGAGAAGGAAAATAACATGCAGACGTGCATGAAGTGCAGACATAGGATGACAATTGTGTGCATGAAAGATGCTACCTTAGAGTCAGCTAGTCATTGTATGATGTATTTTATATTAAGAGATACTTCACCTTTGAAGTTTATCTCGTATCGCTGAGAACCAGCCCTGAACAACAGCGTGCCTTTCTGATTAGCTAAAAACGCTTTCTCCAGATCTGCAGATGTGACCGTGGCAGAGCAATGAATTGGATGCTACAAAAAAGAACAAAGAAATTACACCAGTTGCTCTTTGATTGAGGTGAAACTGCAGGCACACATCAGTGTTTCACCCTTAACCTATTCCCTTTTTATTAGATGATTTTGTTAAAAGAAGTTTCTGCAAGAAGTGCAACTATTCAATGTAATGCCCAAAGTACCAAAGATATGAAACTATATTTATTAAAAATTTTCCCCCCATCCAACTCAGGACCCACAGTTTAGCCACATTTGGCTCGCTGTTCCCTGGAGGTGCTGTAACACCCGTAGGGCACCACTTCAGCCTCCTTAATGGGAGGAGCACACACAACACATGAGCCTCCATGGGAGATGTAGTAAAGCTGGGCAGATAGCCGTATAAACAGGCGAGAACAGGGCTACGAAGCCCCTAGATCAATAACCGGCTGCCGTTTTGAACTAATCTCTAAGATTTCAATCATTTTATTCTTTGTGGCCATAGGGGTATCCACCACAGAAAACTGCTGCTGGCAGTAACAGCAAGAAGTGCTCAGTCCATGCGGTCAGCTTCAACTTAAAAGACTTGAGTCACCTCTGGAAAATACATCCATTCTCAAAGGTAGTCTTCTGAAAGCTTTCACAGAGGATCAGCTCTGCTTTGAGGGACTATTAATAAGATAATTCCATCATGCATCAGAAGAGCATTGCAAGGATACTCATGATTTATGTGAAAGATACCAACTGTAGAACAGCTCTCCAACGATGGCTAAATGAGAGCTTTTGGCATTGGCAAAATGACTCTCACCTGTTTGCCATACTCAACCCACCGCCCAGCATCATCAAGCCAATACCAGGTGCATGCCATTCTGAGAGTGGACAGGTGAGTCCAAGGATATCGCTGGGACACAAGAGCTGATCAGCTTCTGGCTGCTTCAAGCCTAATATTGAGAGAGAAATCCAGACTCAGTACTGGTCCTTTCCAAAGTTGTAAGGCTGTTTGCTATCCATGATGAGGTCAGAACTCAAAACACTTCCCAGAAAAGGAATCCCTTATGGTTTGTGATTAGAGTTCAACTGTGACCAGTTCTGCAGTTTGGACCCTGCCCACAGTTTTTTTCTAAAATACATTTTTCGAAGGACACAATGAACTCAGCTTGTTATACAAGTGCCAAAGGTGCCGTCCACCTAACAGCAGTAAGACTTGGCTCTTACATGATGCAGGCTCAGCCACAGAAGTCAGGATGTTTTCAGCAGGCACTGAGAGCAGGGACAGCAAAGCAGCTGCTCACAGTTACTCAGCAAGCCCCTGGTAGAGTGGGGAACAAATTCACCATCTCTATCCCTGAAACACTTCCAAGGGCAAGAAGCGGAAATAAGCACCAATGACTGATACTCGGAGACTTTTGCTTTGCTTGTAGTTGCGCTTCTTCCTCCTTCGATTGTCCCAGTTTCAGACCCCAAACCAGCCAATGCTCTTCTCTGTCTCCCTTCACATTGCTCCTCCTGCAATTTCACCTTACTGGAGGCTATGTACAGCCAAGACCTGCCCTCCTGCCTGTAGTGCAAATTTTCAAGGATCTATCACTGAGCTATTCCGAGCTGCCAGAAGTAAACCCGAATGCAGTAATTCAAATGGGAACTGCAAGTGATCATTCATTCACTCGGCGTTGCCAGTCCATGGCTCTTGGGTAGGTCTCATCCATATTCAGTAGGGGTAGGAGGTGACTTAATAGGAGGTGTTCCTGCTCGGAGGCTGTTAGGGTACAAAGGTTGACACACACAAAGGCCTGTCAGCTGCCGGGTTCCCCTCGCAGCCCATTAGCTGGCTCCTTCTTTCATTTCCAGGCTGCCCCTGCCCTTTGTACGCAGTAACATCGGTGGGGCCCATTCCTGGAAAAACGCTCCCAATTCACTTCCTTTCAAACCCTGTTGGAGGAGTTTCATGAGGTCTCAGCTTCTCAGAAGCTATTTGTTTTTAAATTCTGCCACCCTTTCCCTCCCCATCCCCATATACAGCAGTAGGCTGCTGCTCTGGCAGGAGAATCGGGAGCTTTGGGATACTGGCTGCAGGTTTGGGGAGTTAGGGATGGACATTAAAGAAAGTGGAGGCAGGCTAAGGAAAGTCACATCAAGTCTGCAGGCAGCTTTTCTCCCTGCTTTTCCTCCATCCCTCATCTCCCTCTCCCTTCTCCACATATCCACGCTAAATACCTGCCGAGACCCACTGCTCCCCATCTGCCCTAATCCCGTTTGCTTCCCAAAACTATGAAGGAAGAGCTGCTTTCACTTTCACTTTTCAGCTTTCCTCCAGGTTGTTTTCCACTCACCAGCTATCCCCAACTAAAAGGTAAGAGAGGTGAAGCACTTAATAAAGCAGGAAAAGTATTTCCAGGTGGGACATGCGGTGTGAATCTTTTACTAAAGATTCACTGTCTGCTCCTGTGCTGCTGAAAGCTCTCCTGTAAATTTGCCTGTCATTTCTCCGCAATTATATACGTAAAAAGAAAGCCGCACTTCCCCATATATGCTCTCTATTTCACGTGGAGAAAATGAAGACAGAAACACAGCTTACGGCACTCTGCAAGCAGGTGTCCTTCCAGCAGACCTTAAAGCAAAGTCCACAAACCACGACCTCTTACTTCCTTTTCCCCCCTCGCTTCCCTATTTCCCTCCCCTCCAGCCTCTCTACTCACGGAGCCCCGGTGTGGGGCTGCCCGGCCACCATCTCTGGGAGCCTGGCATGGAGGTCACATGTCCGTGAGTCACAGGAGCCCACTTAACCCTTGCTCCTCGTGGAGAACATCCCCAGCGTAGTCCTAGCTACACGTCTATACGGTAGTCTCTCCTGCAAACACCTCTCCATGGGATGTCCTAGGTGCCTTCCCTCTAGCCACTACCGCTTAGGAAAGGAAGCTGGGCAGCATGTCCTTTGGTCATTGTCCCAGCCCCACAGTTGTCACCAGATGCGAGCAGAAGGGGCAGGCGGGCTGGCCACTTAGGCAGATGTGGCAATAAAATCTGGCATTCCTCTGAACCGGGATAGTTTATCGCCATCAGTTTTTTCCTGCCTTTGAGCACCAACAGTTAAGTCACTTCAATTCCTCCCATCTTTCAAGTGGGCAGGAAAATCACAGGCCTTTTCCTTTGGAGGTTCCTGTCAGGAGCATTTCCTACTGAACTGTGTGCCTTTGAAGCAATATTTCCTACTAAACTGTGGTCCTTTGAAGCCCAAATCTGCCACTTCCTAACAAAGTGAACCTTTGCAGAAAGTGAATGCATACCTCACACATGTTCTTTATGTTGCTTATTGCATTTTTGAGGGGGCTTTGCAGTCTGCAGCACAGCACAGAATGACCTAAAGCAGCTGAAAGCCATCTGACTGCAGAGCTCTCTGCAGGGCAGGGAAACTTAGCCCAGACAAGGCTCTGTTCTATCAAGAGTATTTTTCTTCCTTTAGCTTGAAATCTGAGCCTCCTCTCCATTATTTTTTTTATTTTTTTCAAAATCAAACAGAGGTGAGGAGCTTTCCCAGTCTGATCTCTAGTCTTTGAGTTTAAGCAGCTGGCAGGCTCCTGGTAGGGCTCTGCAGCATACGCTTAGTGATATGTCAAGCAGAATTAACCACATAAACCTGTTCAGATGCACAAACCTGTTCAGATTTATTTTTCCTTCATATTATGTGCAGTTGAATTGTCCAGAGCAACTTTATTTCCTGATGATCTGGTCAGACCAGCTCAGCAGTGCTCTGAGTATCTGGAAGTGCTGCCATTCTGAATACATTTTACAGACACAGTGAAAAAAAAAAACCAAAAACAAAAAACAAAACACCATTATTTTGATTATGAAGTTGGACTTTTTATTTCTTCCCCATCTAGCCTCTTTTGACTGGCTTTTGACCTTCCGTGTAGTAGCTGTCTCTCATCTCCACAGCTGCCACACAACTTTTATGCTTCTCTTTTGACAGGTGAGATTTATAGAATCAGATCCTGCCAGTTTATTTTTGTGTATGTGAGTTCTCTAGTTAAAAAAAAAAACCTCCTGATATAAAGCCAAGAACACCAGGAGATGCAAGACAGCAGTTCTAGGAAAAGGCACTCCGGCTTGAAGGAAAACGTTTGCATAGCTTTGCTGGGAACAACATACCAACCTCCTTTCAAGCAAACAAGAGGTCAACAACTGGCAGCTGCGTTCCCTGTAAATGGATACTGACCGTCTGACCGTAGCTTTTATTTTTATCACTTTTAAATGCGTCGAGAAGGGTGGTGGCAGCTGCTGCTGAAATTTGATTTCTACTGTCAACATAGCCGAGGTACTATCGCCGTCTGCATTTCCAGCCTCTGAAAAGCCTTTGAACAGAGATCCTGTACCCTGCAGGATCATGTTACTGCGCAGTCAGCAGAGGCACCGGAGTGTGGTTTCCCTGCATTTATCAGATGATTTATCACGTATAAACAAACCATGATCCAGGAAGCAAGACTGCTTACTTTTCCTCACAAATTTCAACCCCCTTTCTTTTTTCTCCAAAGAGAAATCAAATGAATAGGGGAAAAAAAAAAAGAGGCTGTTTCACCTTCTCCATGTTGGATTCTGTAGGCACGCACGGTTCCAAGGTTTGAAATGCAAGTGCTGGGGCGAAAGGTGCTCCCACAGTGTGGGACCAACCTTAGTGTAGTGCCTACACTTTGACACGTGGAAAAAGCCCCAAGCGCAGTATCTAATGGGGCCGCCTCAGCCTCTGTGTAGTTTGTGGGGTTCTCTTGATGGGCATCATTTTCTGCACTTTGGCACATTTTCTGCAGGGGGTCCCATTCATATCTCCTCCCTGATGCATGGCCGACCTGTACCTGTAATTCTGGAAACCCTTCCGAATCTGTCAGCTTGGTCTCACCTCAGACCATGCTGTCTTTTGTGTAAGCTTCTGTAAACTGTGATGGTTTTCCTGTTGGGCAGCATCCTGCAGCTTGTATGTACAATAATCTGCAGGGAAAGGACAAAACCAAAAAAACCCAAAAGCCCTGCCACCCAGGTCCTGCCCTCCCAGCTTAGGTTAGCACGAGAACAGGAAGTAGGCGTAACAAGAATAAATAATTCTCAATTGCTTTGGAAACCCCTTATTTATTTCCAAATCTTGATAGTGCAGTTCACGGGTTTGGGTGGATTACATGGATTTTTATAAACGCTACTTTGGTGTTACTCCAAGTACATAGATGGTTGATACAAACTACTTAAAATGCTTCACATTCTGCTCTTCCTCTCTCCCAAAGCTGTTAGAAGTGTTTCAGTGTACTACTTCTGGTCTTTGGGGAGAAGATTAACATGTAAATGATTGTAAATAGTTAATTACCGCTTTATCTTGACATAACTTTGCAACATTAATAATGAAAGCTGAAATATAATTTAATAATGGAAACCTTTGTTTAGTCAATAGTTCAAGTGAGCATCTATACACTCATTCAGGAAGCCATTTGCCCATCTCATTGCCATGATATTTAAAAAAAAGCTCATGCATGAAGTTTTGTATGCCTTTTTACTGCACCAAAAATGCACTTAGTAAGGAATCTGCCAAAATTTCATTGAAGATTTTGTCAAATTAAAGGAAAACTGCAACTGGACCAAAACCTAGAGACTTCAATTTCACTGGTAGTATCAAAGTTTGGAGGTGGGGGAGGAAAGAAAATGAGTACACATTTTGCCACATTCTTGTGGGTATTTAGCTGATTTTTTTTTAGAAAGTGTTTGTACATTTTGAAATGTTATTTCTTAAAAATAATGTTCAAAATGAAACCTTTTTTTTCAAATGAAAATAAAGCTATTCTACTTACATAGTGCTCAAGGTAAAAAATTCTGACTTATTTTGTTAATGATTCAAATTTCAAATGATTTCTAAATATCTTTTCATTAACCTGAATCTGAATTTTCTGCTAAATGAAATTTTATTTCCCCCACACTCTTCCAATTAATTTACCTTATTTCTAATTTTATCTCTCCATGTTCATGTGCCTTTATGATGCTCGTCCACAGCACCACTTAGAATGGCTACTATGATGTTTCTTCTTGAAGGCTGCATTTGGCTTTCATGTGCTTGACCTCCTTAAATTCTGGAATAGACTTCCTCTATTTGCCAGGTTAGGAAATTTAAAAATAATACATCATTTACTGAGGACTGGGCTAAGCTGCAAAGTTAGGATCTTGTTTTTAAATACTCTCTTGAGGTAAAGAAAGCTTATTTCAACACACTAGATTGGTCCACTAAATATATATATATATATATATAAAAAAAAGCAGATGCAGCATACTCCTCCAGATCCCAAGTGACAAACTTGGGAACACTTGCAGCAAGGTTTTGGCTCAGGTTCTTCTTTATTTGCAGTGATTAAAAGACTAAGAGCATGACCTGCTCTTGGTAGCCTCAAAGGTATCAGAATTGCAACAAGTAGATTTTATCTTCTTTTAGCTGCAATGGTTTCTTCAATAAGTCTTGATTTCTTGTTGGACTACTTCCAGTAATAGCTGCAGTTTGTGTGTGAGATAATCTGAAGGGGGAGAAAAGGAAGAAAGTTTAGTTTGGAGGATATCTTGAGCTATGACTGAAAATCAGTACATCAGCTCTGATGGATGGAGCTTTCTATGTGAGCAGATCACTGGGTCTGTTTCTTTTCTCACAGCGTGCTTTCTTCTATTTTCTCATTGCTGACAGGCCTCAGGCCAGCATGAGACTGAAAGAAGTCCATGTTTGTAATTGAAATCATAAATAAAGATTAGACTTCAGAGTAAATAACTGTACCTATACCACTGAGGACACATCTAAAACAAATCTATGCTGGGTATTGCCTTAGTAGGACATATATCTTGTTACACACCTGCCGCTGTGCCCAGATTCATATTGTTAGGCAAGAAAAAAAAAAAAAGGAAAATATCAGGATATTTCATCACGGGGTAGATCTTTTCCTAGTAGTGATTTCCCTGAATTTTCAGCATACTTATTTGTGCATGGGATTACAGCCTCTGCCTATCAATCTCTCCAGAGTAAACTTTGATCTTGCTGCTCAGTCTCAACTAAATTTCACAGAGATATAGTAAGCCTAAACAAGCCTCTCCACTCCCCGGTTTGGTAGATCTCAGCCTTACCTTTTCTAAAGCAAAACAGCAGAGTGGCTGATCCATATATTCACAACCAGGCTATCCGCCTCTTTTGGTACCCATGGGACCTCCAGCCACCCAGCACATAGCTCTACTGTCTGTCTCTTCAGCCAAGAGGCTGTGTCATGGGAACAGCATTGCAGGGGTGGTAGGATTCATGATTTGGCTTTCACTAGGTCTTTTGCTCAGGTCATATCAGTGATGGGCCCTGGAAGCACATCCTTGAGTGTGTTTAGGCCCAGAATACATCAAGGCAAACAAATACTTACAAAACAGGCTTCGACAGCGATCCGACATTTGCCTGCAGACTACGAGGTAGTAGACTGGAAAACCACTTAAAACTATGGTGCATCCAATGCTAATGTTTACAGGGTCTGAGTAGAAAGACATTCCCACTGTGAAGAGGCAGATGATGGTAAAAGAAACAGGAATGAACAGGGGCACCTAGGGAAAAGAGCACAGAAGACTCAGGTAAGACTGACCACCCTCGCAAATTGGCATTCACACGTACCAGCACACACTATTCACTTGTCTGTCTTAATGTCCCTTTCATACATCCCTTAATCCCAGGAAGGGCAGCCCAATGTGGCATCTCCTCTTTGTAAGGTGCACACCCCTCTCTGTTTCCTCAAGGTACAAACTTTTCCTCACTCACAGAGAGCCATGGACAGGAGGAAGAAGCCAACCAAACCCCCCTGCTCTCTGAACGTACTGCACCAGCATGCATATGCGCGTACTCAATCTTGCCATTTGTGGCAATTGCTGGTGGAAAAGCTGAAAATTAGAACATCAGAGCAAGTCGTTTGAAATCAAAAGTTACTTAGTTTTAATGTTAAAGATTCTTTTTGACCAGCCTCCATCTTTCTTGGGATTTATAGTGGCCAAAATAGGATGAACCAGACTCTCTACTTCTGTAGCACTAGCAGAAGGAGTAGGATTTTCAGTAACAACCTGATGAAAGACCAAAGTAGCACTCAGCACCTCAGCACTACCAGAGGATCCAGTTCATCTGGCTTATTTGAAGAGCAAATTGGAAGACTGCAGTAAAATAATAAAACTGTGAAACGTTTCCTTAGGTTATGGATTCAGCCTCAGCCAAGTTATCTCTGCACCATAAGTGATACAGGACATGCTGATTTCACCCCAGAGGACAACCTCTTTTGAAGGTTGAAAAAAAATAGGATTTGAAAAATCCTGTTTTGGATGCTGACCATGAGGAGCTGCTCAAACCCGGACTGCTTTCCAGCTTTCAGGCTCTTGCTGCTCTGTCTTTCCAGCAGAGCTGCTCAGTGGGAGCAGAGTTCCCTCTTCTCCTTCAGCATCCCCGACCCAAACATGCTTGAGAGTTGTGTGAGGGCAGTGCTTCTCTCTTATCAGTTTTTATTACCATTTTAAGAATAAATTTTATAAGTTTTTTTTTTAAAAAAAGGTACTGGCAGAATGACTTATATTTGCTTTATAATTTGTTCTATATAAATAGGATGTAAAAACAAAACAAATCAAAAAAAAAAACAAAGTTTTTTTGACCACTAGAGAGCAGCACATGCACACATGACATTTAGGCAGGTCTTCCTTTTTGCAGCTAACTGTTCAAACTTGAAGTGGCAATAAAAACCAGGGAGAAGGAGCAAAAAAAAAAAAAAAAAAGTGCAACTGACCAAATGTCAGAAACTGTTTTTTGGGACACTTTTGGAAACTATTAGAAGCCTAAATCTCTATCTAAAACAAAATGAGGCAAAATAACAGAAACTGAAAGCATCACCAGTGCTGTTTATTAATACAGGTCATCTGAGAAGCCTGTTTTGAAAGGAAAAGAGAAAACTTCTGTAAAATCTGTTTCTGGGTGAATACAGCAGGAACCTTTGAAGGTCTCTCCTAAAACCTCTGTCTTCGGCAAAGACGAGGAAGAAAAAAATACCCCAGACTAAATGTCAGGTTTACCTCTGCTTGAGGAGGAGTCCTGGGAGGCAGGAAAAGCATTTTGTTCTCCTGAGTTTCTCCCCAGTTGGTTGCCCAGTGGAGGCAACCTCTGTTTTCCTCTGCAGGAACCAGCAGGAAGCCCCAGATGGGCACAGTGTGAAAAAGGCACAAAAATCCTGCATGATCTAAGCAGAGAACCAACTAAATGCCTTCTGCAGATTATCTGGCAGTGGAAAAGGTGCCCAGAGTGCAGCGGGGGCTGAGAAAGGTGCTCCAGCACTTTCTCCTGCTGATCCAAGGGGACCATCTCCTCTCTGTGAGAGGTTCACTTACAAGCAGGAGGGCTGTACCTGCACAGTAGATCCTGCACTCAAAACTATCGCAGAATCATAGAATGATTGATGTTGGAAGGGACCTTTGGAGATCACCTAGTTCAACAGTTGAACCAGTCTGCACAAGTAGGGTTGGCTAACGAACCACTAACTCATAGCAAACACAGCTGCCATCTTATAGCTATGGCTGGTAACGCACCATGTAGACCCGGTTTTACATATCTAGGCAGTTTTCTAGCTGGGCTAAGCCCAAGAGCTCCCCAGTTCAGCTTACTGTGCAGTAGGGATAGAGACCCCTCAGTGTCTAAATGCAATCATATCCATGTATTACTTCTTAACAAGCAAGAGCAAGCGAGACAGAGGAACACAACATGGCGACTTGCATTTTCCTGGCCAGTGTTGAGCATTACCTTGAACGGGCTCTGCAGCTCTGGGTGACGGTAGCGATGGACAATGAGTCCGAGGGTGGCTAATCCTATGAAGAGCCATCGGGAAAAGCTGAAGAAGTTCAATAAATGGTAGATATCTCCGATACACACCATGGCAGTAACCAAAGGGAACTGAGCATTGTGAAGATGAAATACAGTCATTAAAGCCTTACTGCAGACCTCAGACTGCAAAGGGTAATACGGATCATCTCCTCCAGCCCCCTTGCAATCACAGGCAGCTACTTCACAGCCCCAATATTTCAGAGGTTCCAGTATACTTTACAAAACACAGTCACAGACTATAGGCTTGTAGTAAAAGGCCTAAACACACAAGCACAATGTGCTATAGAAAGAAGCAATGGAGATCAAGAGCATCTTCGGGGATATGCATTCTCGGCAATTAAAACATGCATGATCCAGAAGACTGTGGTGCCAACCAGCAGTAGTCAAGCAGCACTGGGACTTTGGGATACAGAAGTAGTGAAATGCCACATGAGGGACAGTGTAATTTCTCTTCCACAAGTTGTGGTTGTAAACAAAGGGAGTGTGTGTTTCCACCACACCCTGGAATTTCAGTTTCCCAAATACCCGAAGGCTGGAAGAGACATTTTCATAAGACATTATCAAGCAGTAACTGTGGCAGATGATAGGAACAACACATTTAAATAATGTGTTCAAGGCAAGGAGCCAAGAGCCAATGAAGTAGTGAGTTCAGACACCACCACTGGCATGGGTGCTTTTCATAATTTCTGGCCAGTTCCATTATTCCACCTTCTTTATTTTTCAGTGGCTGAGAGAGTGTCTAAGCTCCCTTTAAAACTCATTAGCTTTTCCAGACTATGCAGATTGCCAGACAAAAAGATTGCTGCAAAGCCAACACTGCTCGAACAGAGCAAGTCAAACAGCCAGACCTTCTTACCATTAGCATGACAGCTGGAAGAGGTGTATGCCTTCGAATATGGATCATAGAGAAGAGAGGAGGCCACTGTCCTTCTCTTGAGGCCACAAACAGAGTCCTAGGGGGAGACAAGGATCCCTGTGTTCCAGCACCCCACATTCACACTATAAAACGAAAAGATCAGTTGCTGGACTGACCTAAGACCACTACACCCCACCAACAACAGCACAGGCCTGCCTTCTGCCTCACAGTTCTGTCCTTAGCTCCACCTTTGAGGGGGATTTGAAAGAAAAATAAGGAAAACAAGGTTGAATTCTCATAGTTTTCCCAGTTCTGTGCAGCATAACATCCACCAGTGGCATCACTAACAGCATCCGCTTGTAGAGGCCACTAGCAGACACCAAACTGACCATGAACAAATTTGCCTATAAACAGAAGCAGGAAAGTGTCTTGCCATCAGAGAAAGAATTAACCTTTCTGTAGGAAGTAAAGGGATCACAAAGGTCAAGTCATTATAAGAGAGGCTGGTGAATTTATGAAGGGATTGTCACTCTTGATGCCCACAAGAAGAGGGCACTGGGCTCGAGACACAGGAGGCCCAGGTAGCAGCTGCAGACTAGGAATAAATATATATGCATATATATATTTAAAATAAATAAATAAATTTTCCCAAGTGATGGGATTTCAGGTCTCTGGGCAGCATCTGGACAGTAGGGCTTAGTGTGCTGCACAGAAGCCAGCAACACATAGGCCAGTTACAAAATGGCAGCACAGAGCTCCTTGCCTCCATCCCTCCCCTTGAATCATGAAAGGGTGACTGGGGGGAAGCACTGCCTCCAATTTCATGAATTTAATCTCCACAAACATACCATGTCAGAGCATCAGCTGGACTGGAGCAGAGCCCAAAGCAGCTGGGGTATGACCGTAAAAATGGTTTTATTGCAGCCTGTGTGGTTTTGCAGGAGTGTGCCTGGCTGGCAGCCAGGGAGGCCCTATCACCTTTGATTTAGCCTTTTTGTAGTGCCTGTGCTAATGACACCAGGAGAGAAGGATGATAGGGATACCTCTGGGCCATCCAGAGACTCTACTGAGAAGTGAAGGATTCTCTGACTGCATTTAATACTGCACTTGCAGGTAGTGGATCAAATAAATCATTAGTGCTTGCAGTAGGAAAAAGAATCCTTTTCATAACAACTGATAGCCCTTTCGCAATCAAAACTGTGAAACAGAAATGGCTCGAGAGAGTTTGCTCAGCTTCTTGGGACAAGACAGACGCGCCCTTCTGTGTGGATTCTGCCCCTCTCCAATTTTAAGACTCCCATAAGGTCATGTGGCTTAGAAACCAGTAATGCTGGCAAGATATTTTTCCACGTAACAACATTTTTATTACCCATACAGCATGATTTGTTGTGCCGAGACTATTGCTTTAGGAATGACTTGGTCCTGGTAGCATTTCACTGAACTCAAAGCAAAGGTCACACAAAGAGTTTGCCTTTGGCCAGAGATCCTCAAAACAGAAGGATCCTCTGCCCTGGAGCAGAGCAGCTGAGTCGAGCTAACAAAAAACGACTCAATTTTACTGAGCAACTGCCAAGGTCAACAAAGCTTCTAGCCTACCAGGAACACTGACATTTCACTTGGATTTAAACTGAAGGGGGTGTGAGGGAGATAAAAAACTTTTTTATAAGCAATTTGTAACCAGCCCTAGATATTGATGTCTAGACCTGTCCAGAAGGGGAAAGATGAGTCAACAGTGATTGTCCTGCAGCTGACCTCTTGGAAGTCAAAGGCCCTATTTTTCTCCAAAAAGGGCTAAAATACCATTGAGAGGATAGCCAGTTGCACAGGTTACTGATGCTTTCTCTTGTGATTCAGTAAGCAAAAAGGGTCATAAATTCTTAGAAATCTGACCTTGAAAATGTAAAGATTCCTCCATTCATTGTTCCTAAACAGGACAGTGCAACAAGGACAGGAACCACTGAGATAAGACTTTTGAAGGCTCGCTGCACAAAACTCTGCGGGAAGAACAAACTTACTTCAGAAATGTGTGATAACCTCTTCTGACACCAAGTTCAAGAGAAATAACTGAAAAAAAACACCATTCAAGGATCAGAATATTAAGCATGCCTTTTCTACTATCATGCCCAGGTTCCTTTCATTATCTTCTAGGCAAGATTAGAAGAAGTTACAGTTGTCCAATAATCCAGAGAGTTAACAAAGCAGAAGGTCATTCTATTAGGAAAACCATCTCCTAAACACTTGCTGCAAACACCCTTTCAGTACAAGTTGATCTCACTGAAGAAAGATTATAGTTGGGGCTACAACTCACCACAGCAACAGCTGGAGAAGCCAGAACATCTTGTGTCCCTAGGACGGTGTAATAGGAAATGTTGGTGAGCATATATCCCACAATTACAGTGATCACAGACACAATCACAGCCAGCGGGATGTTTCTACAAAAGAGGAGAGATGTACAACAAAAGCTGTTATCCCTCTGTTATTCCTCATACCGCTGTGGAATGTAACTGGTTTTACAAACTCACAGACATTTTTCCTCCCCTACTATTTGTTAGTATTTGATAAGGCTGAGGTACCTCAGAGGTAGTGCAAGACCCATGTATTTCTCCTAGCCTTACCTTTCAGGTCTGATCAATTCTTCACGCACAAAGCTAGTCTGAAACCTGCACAGTAGAGGAAGATAGGGAGAAAGTTTGAACCTTGTCTCAAACACCAGTCTGCCGCCCCTGAAGTGCCCTCTAATCTCACCTACCAGCCTGAATATGCAAACATCCCTGCATAAAAAGCCAAGGGCAGCTTATCCAAAACCAGTGACTGTCTGTCAAAAGCATCCTGGAAGTTTTCGGTTTGGCCTGTGCAACAGAGAGACAACGGAAAGAGAGCAGGAAAACATGAGAGACAGGCTTCCTTCCATGGGTTAACATCACTTGTACCTCTTGTTCAACCCTGGGAAAACCATCTGCAACTTCTTTGTAGTTAGATATTTGGATTCATTTCATTGCTTTAAATTGCAGTGCTTTGTTGATATATTTACTTCATAAACAGTGCGGGAATTAGTCCATCTCCCACCCAGCCATGGGAGAAATTTCAGAAAGGAGTTGGTGGTGGACGGTTCTTTTTCAGACAGTGTCTGCTGTGGAAACAGGAGATCATGGAGACAAGGCGACTTTAGTTGTCCTTTCCTTTGTTTGGGCCTAAAACTAATTCCCCGGGTTCACACACACACGCAAGCAGCTGGGTGCACGCTCTTTTTTGATGTTGTGCAGCCAACGAGGCAGCTAATTCGACTCTTGCTGTGCCACCTCCTGAGCCTTCTACAAGAGCACTGACCCCGGCCTCACACTAGGAACAGAGCATGGGAACCGAGGGGTGGAGGAGGGAGCACAGGGAGTGGGAACAACCACGCCGGTCCTCTGCGCTCCAGGAAAACCCACGTCCTCGCCGCCCCTTCCCACCTGCCTTGCACGGCCTGGCAGGAGGAGAAACTGAAGAGACGGAGGGGCAAGATGGGGAATCGGGTAAAGACCCCATTCTACCAAATCTCCCAGTTCTCAGGAAAGTGTTCTGTTTGAAACAAACCTGGGCCAGCACTGAAAAGTAGAAAGGAAATGGTCCGTTTTACAAACCGTGCTTGTACAATAAAAAGCAAAGCCAAGATTTTGGATATTAGCCATATTTTATCAAACTCCAAAAAAAAATAGGAAAGAGAGGGAGAAATGGCTAATGGGTTCTCATTCAAGGTTCTTTAGAAGTAAAAGGTGTGGAGTTCACACAGCTGGGCTTCGGCAGGAAAGGGATGAAATGGCACAGAGCACATGGAGAAAATCGGGCACTTCTACTGAGGTGCCTCTGTAAGGAGCTCTTAGATAAGACTTAGGCATCCAGGTTTGAAGCCAGAGAAAAAGTAATAGCAGAGGAAAAAGCATGAGCATAGCCAGTGAAAGGAGAATGAGAAAGGGGAACAAAGCAAAGTTTGATTTAAAAACAAAGAAAAAGAAGAAGTCAGATGGAAGATGGATTTGAAGAAAACTAAACCAAAAAATGGCAGCGAGCCTACTGGGCTTTTTATATTCTAAAATGACTGCTGATAAGTGATGGTACATAAAAAGGATTTATTTGTCCACAGTGTATTAATGAGTGATTTACAATCCCCCATGAGTCAGATGAAATACAGCCTGTCATATTGGGGTCTCGCAGTGAATTCTCTCTCCAGATGTCACCACCACTTATCCTCCTCATCAGAGGAGCGTGCCAGGGCTCCAGATTGCCATTCGAAGGCATTCCTAACAATAACGGCTCAGGATTTCTAGCTGCAGGGCTGTCCATCAGTTCAGATGTGCTGCCAGCCTGAGGGGATTTTTGCATGTTCAAAGACGCCAGCCTCAGACATCAGAAAGAAACATGAGCGTTCAGCCTAGTGCCTTTGTTGTGTCCTCTGCAGAGGAAGGAAAAAGCATGAAGACAGAACAGGCTTCATCCCTTGAGTGCGAATGCCATGGGCTTTTATATAAAATAAGGCTTGGATTAAAGCCAATGCTCTGGATATCACTCCCAGAAGATACCACTGATTGATAGGCTGTCTTTTTTTCCCTCTGAATACAAGCACAAATCTGACACAGGTCAGTTTTGAGCTTACTACGCTACTGTCCATGAGAGGTTCCCCCGAGCACCCTCCCTGCTTCCGCCACACTGAGAACACCTACCTCGGGCCAGAAGCATCATCCCTGGCACGATGATGAGCGCAAGGGCCAGGAGTTTGACGAAGGAGAGAGCTGTCTGCACCCGGGCGCTCCAGCTGACACTCCAAGAGTTGAGGGTGAGGACCGTGTCTGGAGAGGAGACCACATTGCTACAACCCACGCCTCGCTCCCTGCTACTTGAATGGTGGTCACAGGGATGGATGACTGTGGGCCCATTTTCCCTTCCTCACAAGCACAGGGGCCTTACACAAGTGCTGTGGATCAGGAAGTTTTGGCTGATGGGGGGAGGTAACATGGGGTCCCGATCCTGCAGTGTTCCCACATGGTAACACCCGATCAGCACCTCTGGTCCAGGGCAGAGAGGCTCCGAGAATGGCCCCCAGCATTAAGGTTTGTACTTACAGTATCCCAGGAGAGACACAAGCTTCACAGCGGGGAGAGGAGCCGCACAAGGGGCAAAAAAGGGCTCCAGCAAGTACCGTCCGAACGCCAACGAAACCACAGCACTGTTGGCAGGCCTGGCAAGGGAAACCGATTCGTAGTGTCACACAGTGGTCACAAGGTTAGAAAATACAGCATGACGGAAAACTGCCCCAAAACTCAAGAAACATGGAGGAAACGTTCCCCGCCCAACTCAATCCTGCTCTCCCGCACAGATGATGCTTTATGATACAGGGTCCTTTTGCAGCTTTTTCAGTAAATGGCTTAGAATCACATGCTGTAAAAAGCTTAATTATTTGCTCAATCCAGAGCAAACTTTGAGATTAGTCACACTGAGCAATACAGTGGGGTTCACATGTCCTGCTTCATCTCAACGTACATGGAGAATGCAGGTTATTGTGATGGGAGAGCTTTCTTCTTCTTTTAGGTAAATAATTAAAGAAATAAGTACATACATAAATAAAAGTTATTTACAGTTTTCTGAACTATTATTTAACTTGAGGCTAAGCAAGAAAGTTTTCTTCACAGGAGAATTTGAGGAAGTTTAGCAATGAAAACAAAGTTCTAAAATAAACTATCATCTATTGTCAGTCACTGAAAAATACCACAGCCCTTTCATCACAGAAAGTCTTTAAAAGTAATTCCTACTGTTTCTACTTTTTCCTCTGAAAAAAATCTAGATTGCTAACTGGCATCATAAGTCTTCACAGCAGCTAGCAAAAGGCAAACAAACTAACAAATATCTTACCTGATAGCAAAAAACTCTGCCCACAGAAATAAGAAACTTGGCAGAGGCCCTAGAGTCTCCAGTATATAAATATAATGTCCTCCAGACTTGGTGATTCTTGTTCCAAGCTCTGCATAACTCAAGGCACCTGAAAAAGTTCAGGTAGAAATGAATCAAAGTGCATCCAGTGCATCTCTGTACAACTTTTCAAGATTTGATATTTTAAATTTAAAACTTTAAATAGTTTAAAATAAGTAGCAAATTAAACAGCGAAAAAAATGGAATTTGAGATTTGGTTTGGGGTTTGTAAAGTGCAACCGTTTTTCTTCCCTATTTTTTTGTTACGATATTTCAAAGTAAGTTCATTTTTCTGTCAAAATAAAAGAAATTCTATCTTTTCTGAATAATGATATAACTTTTCCACGGACGTTTATCTGAAAAAAAACTGTGTGAAAGAAAAATTTACATTGAACTAGAAAAGACTTCCTTAAAAAGAATTGGAGGTTCAGGTTTTTTCATTTGTCCTCATAATTAGATTACAGTTACAGTGCTTAGAAAGTTGTGCTTAGAAAGTCATTTGTAGAAGCTCAACTGACCAACAGTGATTTAATTGATCATTTTAATTATGTTTTTGACCATGAACCTGTTCCTGTGTCCTTATCCTTAGGATAGGCCTTAAGATAAATTTCTTTCTTCACTGAAAGATACTTGGACAAAAGACCTAGAAACGTCTCTTAGAAGAAAGAATTGCCATAAAGGAAGAAACAAAATACCACGGAGCATAGGAAGCTTCTAAGAAAGAGGTTCAATATTTCTCCTCTCATGTGCTCACCTCCTCACACACAAGTGTGACAACAGATTTGAGAGTCGCCTACTCCTTTCTTAATAACAAACCTTCACCACCTCCCTGCCTCTATATCTAGGCAGAGCAAAACGTGGCCCTGTAAGAGGCATATTTGAAAGGGCAGCTTAAAAATTTCAGGCAAATTGATAGAAACCATTATATCGCTTTCTACTAGAGCCAAAAAAAAAATAATCCCATCTGTTTTTCTGTGCATAGGAATTCATTGTGCCATTTGAACACATCTAAGCACGAATCTTAAACCCTGCCTGCACCAGATCCCCTTGCTATATTACACATCCGTTGTTCACCATCATAAAACACCTCACTACACGCTGCATACTGCACTTCCTTGCACATCGCAGGTCGCTCGCGCTGGGCCTGAGCACCGTTCGGGTGCGATCCCAAAGGGTGACACCAAACCAAGCTGCACATGTGGTGCCCTGCCTCCCCTGGGTCACAGGGCCTCTCCGCAGCCTCTCCTGCCTCTCCTCCTTTTTGTCCTCAGGCACTAAAGGGAAAAGCAGGAAGCGGGGAGGGCTGCAGCCATAGCCAGGGCAGGAGGAGACAGGAGAGAGGCCTGTCAGCAATGCGGCCATTACCCCGAGCCCTGCAGAGCTCATGCCATGTTTGGGTAGTGTTAAAGGTGAGGGCTCCCATGTTCCTAGCCTCTCCTTCAGCAAATTTATGCTGAACTCCATTCAAAGCCTTGCACATAGGCAGACACCTCTTCCCATTTATTCCAGGGGGTGTTTTCACATGCTTCAAGCATGCGTTTAAGTGCTTTGCCGAACTGAGGCTATGGGACTTGTATAAATGCCATGCTTAAAGGAAAATACATATATAAAAGAAAGCAGGTCCTTCTTAAAACACTGTAAGAAAAGTGCCAGAAAAAAAGAAAATGATCAGGGAAGGCTGTCAAACTGATTAAAGGGACGAAGAAACCAACAAATCAGTTACAAAATGCAGTAACTTGACAAAGAGACTCCCAAGGCCCCGCCAGGAGACACTGTCAAAGGATGTAATGGAGAGAGAAACCTTTCCAAGTGCAGAGCCTTGGCTATCTGACTAGCACATGCCTCATAATTTATTGCTCTGCTCAGCTAAAAGAAACACGGTGCTCACGTTATGTTTTAAGATTTTCCTGAAGTAAAATATATCATACTCCAAAGAATCACACATAGGCTGCATCCCACATGTACTGTAAATGAGGCCTACATTGAACAGCATATGCAAAAACATGAAATACTGGAATGCATATGCTAAGAGGAAGAACTACAATTGTTGCCAGATTAACAATTAAGTGTCCCAATTGCTGCCTTCTAAAGTGCTCCCATGTGCACATAACTAGACCAGAGTGTTTTTTCATAGACTGTATCTTTTTTTTTAAGTTATGAGAGAAGAGCAACTTTAAAGTCACCCACAGAAATAAATATCAGATTTCTCTCCAAAGTTCTAAGAGATCCAGTAGTCCTGTAGGATCTGCAGGGTGAGTGTTCGACAGCACCTATAGAAGGTGCTTTTAAACAATTAAGGAAAGACAGAAACTAAAATCATACATTTTAGCAATGGCAATTTTAAGAGCCATTTTATTTCAGAAGAACTAGAATGCCAAGCTATAATCAAAAAATCCATCCTTCATAAGAAAAAATAAAAGTCATTGATCGTGTTTGCCACAAAGTGAAGTGTAATGCAAAGAAAGCAGGACTGAGAGTGTCAAGAATCCTTCTACCTCTTCTGCTTGCTCCAAGACAGATCAGATATAGCCAAAGCATTTCTGACAGATGCCCGCCTACCCCTTATTGCCACAGGCTCTGCAGCTCCTACAGAAATCTGCTCTTGTGCTTCTCTCTCCTTACCAACTGAGAAGGTTTCCCTCACTGCCTTGTGAGACTGTGACTTATCCTTTTCACAATGTACATGAAAAGCTCTGCAGAGCCTTCATTCTAGCAGATGCCTTTCATTTAATGCAATCTCATTTCCACATCCCGTCAATTCCCGTACTTTTCTCCAGGCTCTCCTGGCAGATCATGCTGTCTGTAGTCACTTGAACCCACTTGCCCCAGACTTGCGTGCAATTTCAAATTTACAAATCACAGAGTGCAGAGTTTTTCTCAGAAACCATAAGGGAATCAGTTTTGCAGAAGATCCTTATACCTGTATAGCCCCAAGGCTCGTTGGATCTTTGTTTCTGCTGCATTAGAAAGAGGGAAATTTTGGTCTATTCTGCTCCTAACTTTTTATATGAAGAAATCTGCTGGCTCCCCTCCTCTCCCAGGAGCTTAAGCAAAAGCTGACAAAAACTCAAAAACTCACCACTCACCAAACATGGAGAGAAGCCCACAGGCAAACCAGACAACCAGGGAGAAGCCCACATTGCCAGAGTTTTTCAGTACTCCTTTAGGGGAGATAAAGATGCCACTGCCAACCATGCTGCCGATAAGAAGTGAGAAAGCCCTCAGCAAAGTGATCTTTTTCCTCAGAAATACAGGCTCCTCTTCCTTCTTGTCTTTCCCCATGGCTCTTCTGATCCCAGGGGAAGCTCACGCATTCAGAAGTTAAAGTCTCCAAAGCATCCACAAGGCTGACCTGTAATAGGAGGGAAGAGTTAGGGATTTGAGTGTCTTTTTTTTTTTTTTTTTTTCTGGATAAGATTTTTCACAGCAACCTGTCGAGATCTGTTGAATCTGTTCTCCTCAGCCATTGGATGCACAGTACAAACAAAATACAGTTGCATTTACACACACTCGGCATGATCTCTTACATTGGCACCGTTCCTCAGAGGGACCATTACCTTGTTCTCCCTCTTCTGGCAAGGAACACAGAACACTATAAGTTGCATGCCAAAATTTGGGAAACAATTTCCAAATGCAGCTTTGACGCCCAAAGACACGTTTGCACCCCAGGCTAGAACTGATCTGGTTAGGGTTAATTTAGGGGGTTCAAACTTGGGTGAACATTGATATCAGCAGGGAACATCCTCTAGGAGTTCAAGCTTCAAACCAAAGAATCAAGACCTTGGAGAACTCTGAGCTGAATGTGATTTTTCTCTAAAATGACTTTTTTCTCTCCCTCTTTTTTTTTCTTTTTCCTTTTTTTAAAAAGTAGCAGAGAACTGTTAACTGGGGTACACAAGTGATTTAAGCAGCACATTTCCTAATCATGCTTGGTAAATGGATGCAACCTGGTAACAGTTTTAGAACTAAGGCTTAATTCTAGCAGTGTTTATTAGTATGTTCTCAGGCCCTTTTTCCATTAGGGGATTGAAGAGCCAAGAATATATATTGTTTAGCATGCAAAGAACAGTTCTCAATACCAGAGATGTTCCTTCTGTTATTACAAACCCTTTCTCAATAGCAATATAAAAAGTAAAGAGTAGAAAAGAGGGAGCCTCAGATACTCTAGGGAGCACATAAATTGATCTAGACCTAATTCTCTCTCATGCTGCAGTCATCTTCTACCTCATAGTTTTGACTCTCATTCTCCACATTACTCAATGCTTCTTTCCTGCAAGGAAGGGCAGTATTATGAGCTCCATTTACAGACAGAATAAAATAAAATAAAATAAAATACAACAGAGACAGAGGTTGGAGTCCTCTGTCTCTTAAGGTCACAGAAATCTTTGACAGAAGTGGACTCAGATTGCCCTCAATTCTAGCCTGGTACTTTTAGCAATAAGCTCTCCACTTTCGGTATGAGAGACAAATTTGTACAAGTTAATACAGTGTCATTTTGCTGTTATAAACCTGCTGGTAGTTATTCTAACAGCAAGGTGGACACAGACATTTTTCACTGCTCATTAGCTCCATTAGAGCAAACAAGATTGGTCTGGATTCAGTAATTTGGATCCTGTCCCCCAGCCACACATCTCTCTCCAGTAGCCACATGCTCCAACTGAAAGCAGATGTTTGTCACTTTTCACTGTTTCATTATGGCTTTCTTTGTAAAATATCATTTTTTTTTTTTGAGGGGAAGGGTTTGTGGTACTCATTAGAATGGTTTTGCAATTCAAATTGAACATTTTTTTTTTCATTCTTCTAATGTTTAAATTGTAGATATAATAAAAGTTTGCCCCAATCCCTTGATAGTATGTTACTGTGTTTTAGATCCCTTAAATTATCTCAAATTAAATTAAATTATGTTATTGTAATGGTGTGTTCAAGACCAGGTAATCATTCCCTATGGAAACACACCTAAGAAGCCAAGAGTTATTTTCTTGATAATCTGTATTTACCATCCAAAGACACAAGTGCTCCCTTAGCTTTGACACAATGCTTCCTCTTATGATTCATCCACAGTACCACTTCTTATGCCTTGTCTAAACTCAGAATAATAGCTTTGCCTCCTACATCCCTGGCTATTTTCCCTTCCTGGAAAGCGTCAGAAAGAAGTGGAGCTTATCCTTTCTTCACACACGGATGAGTTGCATAAAGCCCTCTCTCCTTCCAGGAACATCAGTTGGTTTCTCTGGGACCTCATCAAGCTGTCACAAGCATCTCCTCAATCAAATGAGCCTAGTTTGGTTGTTAAATCTCTAACAAGTCACAGTAGACTCCTCAGGCTCTCATGGGTCCCACCAGCAATACCTGAGACCCGATCCCCTGTTGCTATCTGGAGTCCCAAAGCATCACTGGAGACAGCCACTCTGGAGGGGCAGGGACCTCCTGAGCCCTCAATAGCAGTTCCCCTTGGTTGCTAATTAATTCCTGTGAAATATTGATCATCTGGTATTTCCCAGACCAGAGGAGAACCACAGAAGGTTCTTTAGCAATGGTAAAGCACAGGAGGTTCACAGAATCGAGAGAAGTGAAGAGAGATTTTTTGGGCACAAATATCTCTAAATTACTACTGCTAGAAAATTAAAAGTGCACTTATCTGTTTGGCTGTTTTTTTAGATAAAGCCGGTGTACTTATAATCCATCAGACTCCCATTTCTTGCTGGACTCCCAAAGCAGCAAAACACAGCTTCTCTCCATGGGCTCTGAAATTACAGACAGAAGGCGGGGAAGAGAGATCAAACCAAATTTACAGACCAGGTTAATGATCCACAGTAAATACCAAACTCCATGCTTTTGTCCACATGCTCTTTTATACGATTGCTATACAAGAGCACTTGGAGACAAAGCACCCCAGTCCAGTGAATTTCAGAAATATTAAATCTGTCCAGATTTGTCCCAGAAACTGAGAGAGAAAAAGGGGGGGAGGGAGCAAAACAAACAAACAAACAAACAAACAAGCAGACAGAGAGCTATTGAATAGCACTTCAAAGAGACACCTAGTAGAGGGTACTGCCAGGAGAGACCATTCCCGCATGTGTTGCTTTCTAGTTAAACTCCAGCACAAGGCACATTAAAATGCAGAGTTGTTAATCCTTGTGGCAATGCTTAAGAATATGCACAATGTGCTTAGCACAAAGGAAATGCACAAAGCTGGGGTTTGTTCACCCTTTCACTCAAAATACAGGCTCAAATCCTTCCCTTTCCAAAATGCGGTACCTTTGCATGAGATCAGCCAGCAGAACTGGAGCAGAGCAAAGCCACTTCACAGGTTTTCACACTTGCTGGTTTTTAACCTGCTCGCTTTTCATTTCTACTGATAATTTTTCAGTCATTAATCTTACCTCACAGGCACTGTAGTATGGATGGAGATGAAGATGATAAACAAGCATAAAGGGAAAATCATGTTTGTTAATTGTGATGGTGTCTACAGACCCCAGCTGAGAGCAGGACTCACTGTGATCAGCACACAGGCAGAGCAGAAGATGTTACTTGCCTGAAAAGCTTTCGATCTAAATAACTAAAAAGCAGAGGAGGAACAAAGTATCATTTACATCTGGGGAACTGAGATGCAGAGTGGTTGCATCTGGAGTGACTCTCCTAATATCACGCAGGAAGTGGGTGGCATCCCTGGGAAACAAATCATATCTCCAGGGTCCCGGTTCAGTGACTTACCAAAAAAATAGCTACTAGTGAATATTCCTAACTGTTTACAGCTGTATTTTCTTTGTGGGAGCCTCAATCAATACGATACGGCCAAGAACAGGTTAACCCTTTCCTTTTCTTATTTTAAAAGATGCAGACAAACTGTTCTCCACAGTCCCACTTTTTTCTTTCTGTGCCAAAAAATGTCACTCCAATTCAGTGTTCACCACAAGACACAGGCGCTAACTAAATAAAATCAGCAGTGAATAGGAGCTTTTTTTATTCATGCATGAAAGTAGCATAAATAAGCTTTAATGAGACTGGTGGTGCTCTGTTCTGGGAACTCAATCAGAAAAGCTATTTAGCAGACCTGAGAGATGTTTGTTTATAGACTATAATGAACACAAGAAACAGGCTAAAAAGACAAGACATGCAGCTCTCTTCAGCTTTCTACAGCTGGTTTACGGCCCTGGATGAGAAACCCAAAGGGATGGTAGTTAATAAATCAAACTCAAGCTTGCACCCTGAGATGTTAGCAATAAACCCAGGGCGATCATCTTAAGCATAAGTACAAGATTAATTGTCAATAGCTTCTCTTCCTGTAGAGTTTCCCAATTTACTCTTGTGACTTGTCTAGGAAAAGCCTGCAATTTCCCCATATTTCTTTTTTAATGAAAATAATGTAGGGACAGACAGTAAAATGGTGCTAGGCCTGGTGACGCTGATTACCTTTCCCATCACACTTAGGCATTTCTAATTGCCTCTTGGGCAAGACTGACATTTTCTGGAAAACAGAAAGATGAATGTGATGAGTCTGGACCTCATGATGACCTTCCAGTTGAGAGAGTAAAACAATGTTGACTCCATGCTTCCCATCTCTGGCTAAAATTTGAAATAAACTATTCTGTTTTTTAAACAGC